TTCTCTATTACAACTAAAACTACGGTACTGTCAGGTACTTGACCCTTGGCTGAATATGCTGCTCCAGCATGGCAGGTGTCCAGTGCTGCTGCTGGTGCTTTGGTGTGTGTGACTTGGAGTAGGGGGCAGCAGAACAACAGTGCTGAAATTACTGGAGGACTAAGCAAGAAGCATCTGAAGATGCGTACTCCCATCTGAGGATTACGTGGGACTCACTTAAAATAAGCCTTCACCATACAGCTCTTAGATGCTGTGTCCTTTTGAGATAGTGTCCTCTTCTATGTATCTTTGGTCACATCTTTGCAAAGGAAAGATGATGTGGAATCTCTAGTCAAGAGTTAGTTAGCTAACAAATCTGCAGTTCCTAAGCTGATGCTCAGTGTTTCCTTCCAACCTCACAGGTCAAAGCAGCTTTTACACGTGCTTACAACAGAGAGGTACATCTGACACCATATTCACTTAGTTCTGTCAAGATATCTAGAAGGCAGTCAGGATCCATGTCCACCTTAGAAATGAATGAAGACTTGAACATGGAAGAGATCCAGTCTGATGAGGATGAGCAAGATACTGTTGACAGTGACACAATGATTAAGGTGACCTCGTACAGTAAAAAAAAGAACTGTGGTTTTTGCTTTTAGTTACATTTCTAGGACTTGGAATATCATCTGAATGGGGAGAGGAGACATTACAGTAGATACTGAATACATCATCTCTCAACTTTTAAATCTTTAACTAGCAACAGCGTGAAAAAGTCTTGAAGTTATTTCCATCCATTGCCTTCTGTTTGAATGTTGGTCCAAAGTGAGGTGCCGCTGAGAATTCACGATTCCTGCACCCAATTCCAAAGCTTACTACTATTTTAAGTGTTGGTGGGGATGGTGCCATTGGTAAGGAGCAGCCACAGGTCTCTGCATGTGGTTATCCCAGACAACAGTTCCAGTAATGCCCTTTGTACATATTGCCAAATCGGGGAGCTGTGGTCAGCCCTCAGGACTGAATATTGTAGTCTGTACACCCTGGAGCATTTAAACTTCATACCTGAAAGGGGAGGGGAAGGAAAGAGAGTGTTTTCTTTTACCACTGACATATTTTGACTCATGCTTTTGTCAGGTTGCAGTTGAATTTTGAACTGTTTGTATATTCTGTTTTACAGCAAAAGAAGGTGAAGTCTTCTTCCAAGCTGTCAAAAAGAGAGAAAAATGAAGAAACAACAAAAAAAGAAGGGAAAAGAAAAGAGAAAACAAGACATTAAACAGTATAAAATCTTGCTTTGGATGCAGTTTTGTGTTGTCTGACGTGTGGCAGGACCATGACACGTATCCAGTGCTGGAGCTGGGAAGGTACAACCCATGTGTTGAAAACGCTCCTCTTATAGAGGTGATGTAACTACTGTTCTCTGGCACTGTGCTGTGTAGTACTTACTCTTAACATGCTTCAACATTACAAGGTATAAAAGGCCTGTGCAGCAGACACTGGGGCGCATGAACAGGACAAAACCATGACCCTTAGTTATGCGGCATCTATGCTGAGTCTTCCCTAGGACTTCTCTACCTTTGTTTGGTTTTGTTTTTTTTTTTTTTAATAACAAATCCCCTGATGTTATGTGGGGAACTCTTGTAAATGATGCAACACCCTCCCCCAACCTAAATGGTGTATTTGTACATTATAGAAATTAAGCAGAGTATAAAATGACAATAAAATGTTTCACGGGAGTCTTTTAAAGCTCTGGTTAAGTTTGTGGAGTGTTCTGTCTTGGCCTCTCTTTTCTTCAGGGTTTTGGCTTTCCTTCACATACAGGATATGGTGTTTTATTCTTTTCCTACAACTTCCCTTTGTTCAGTTAGAAGCACAGAAAAGCAGTGAGGGATTTAGTTCCAAAACATGAAGAGCCTGTGCTTGTATGAGTTGTATCTTTAAGTATTCTTTTCTGGTTTTGATTAAAGTAAGGAATGTTTAATAGAAAACAGTCATAAAACTTTAGTTCAGACCTGATGTTGGAGAGAGAACACTTGGGGCTTTTGCCACTCGCTTAACACAGAACGCCCCTTGGTTTGTCTCTGGTGCAGATAAAATGCAAATTTGGCTTGGTAAGAAGAATTATCAATCAGTTTTATTACTATAACAAATCAAAGTACAAAATTTATCAAAAGCTAAGTATTTACAGGCTATCACAAAATAAAGTGACATGTGGTTGCTACTAAATCCTAGTAGGGAAGAGATGTGTGATGCAGTGATGGAGCTTTCCTTGTTGCTTGCCAGACAGCACATGCAGTTCTGAAAGAAAACAGAGGTGATTGGTCAGACTGTGATAGCAAACAACAGTTTTCTCAGACTGAAGGGGGGAAAGTTTATTATTGTATATATAATTTATAGTATCACTTGTGCATTACTCTGACCTATAGCTAAGTTTTCACACACTGTGTTTGCCTTCAGTTGTTAAAATTAATGAGGAATTTCTTTAACTCCTTTTCAGTTATCATTTCGTTAACTAAAATTGCAGTCTTGGATCAAAGTGTGTGGTATAGACAGAGCAGTGGTGTCATTTTTCTTTCTCTGAAATACAAGTATTTCCAGCCAATACTATGTTGCTGTTACCCTGTGATTATATTCTTAAATTCTGTTAAACATGTAACTGCATTTTAGATTTGTTCCTTCCAGTTAGCACTGGTCAGTAGCTCTGCAGAAGGAGTTGATGCTGCTGAGATCTCCAGACTGTTCTCTCTGCTGCTAAAGCCCAGCTGGTGTTCAGGACAAACACGCCACAGATGATAACATGATCACAGAGGTAAAGTGGTTTAATGCCTCGCAACTGGAATGATTTAACAACCAGGTTAGTTGCAGTAGCAAAACCTGGTGGTGTTTGTATGTCTGAGGGCAAGTAGGCGATACAGCTGGGTCTCTGGTATTCAAGGCACAGTCCTAGGCTGTAAGTTAAATCCCTGAACATTGCAATTCCCTTGCTGAAACACTCCCCATGCCCTCTAGAATGAGCCCTGTTCCGTATAAAAAAGTAAGTACAGGCTCTAGCACGTACCTGAATTTATTGGTCCCCATCTTCTGGTGTGAGGTACTGTGTACAATCATTTATTTTCTTAAGATGAGCAACGTCAATCCTTTCAGAACACATTGGACATGTGTTTTCAGTCTCTAACATGCTGTTTCAAAAGAAGGGTGATGGGTCAGATGAGAATTCTAACATTTTTCAAAGGAAGAGCTGGGCCTGAGGCAGAAACCACAGAGCAAAGTTCTGGCCTGTGCTATGTAACAAATACAGGCCAGAGCAATAGCAGTTAGAACACATACAGAGAAGCTTGGGCTAGAACATGAATTTTCTGCAGCTTCACAGTTCTGACATCTGAACAAGAGCTATCTATCCTGTCCCATTCCCACATGGGTGATTATCAGGGATGAGAGGTTGTTGATACCTTAGTGCAAACTAAGATGCACCAGTACTGTGTGTATCTGGTTTGGTTTTGGTGACTGCTGCTGTGCCTGTGTTCTCCCTGCCCCACATCAGGTTGTCTTCCTGGCAGAAGCTGAGAGCTTGCACAAGTCCATCCATCTCTGGTCCTGTTGCTGCAGCCCTGCATCTCTGGGGTAGAATTCTTTCTTGCAGTTCTTGGTCCACTTTGAAACAATGTTCTGTATGTTAGGTGAAACTACCAAGTAAGGGGATGCCTCTTCCACCCCAACCCAGCTATTAGGTGGTGTTAGTACCAAATGAAGCAGTTTGCTGCTAAAATAAGGCCAAACGTTGGAGTCCTGTAATAGAAAAAAATAATCTCAACTTACTTTCTGAATTCTGAATAGAGGGCAGGGAAGTCACAGTGTGGGCAGACTGTCCAGTCATCTCGGATCATGTGGCGACCCTGCAGGCAAAAGCCACCAGTAATTAAAAGGCACTGGCTGCCCTAGTACCTGGGCATTTGGTTTTGTACCTGTTACTGTGCAAAAGTCTCAGCAACTGAGTTCTAAATATCTTGAGGAATTAAAACCCCAACTGATGTTACTGGTGTTGGATTCCTGTGTAAAGCCTGTCATGAGAAAGCAGCTCTCGGTGAGATGGTGTTCTCATTGTAATCTGCATTCCTTTCAAAAAAAGAAATCTAAGAGTGAATTGAATCACAACTTCTAAAATTATTTGTTTAGCAATTCTAGAATGTCACCTACAGATCTGTGTCTAGAGTTGCTCAGAAATTACATTTTCAACTGATAACTTGCATTTCCTAAACTCACCTGCACCCAGGAGGTCATTTTTAGTAGTCACATTTGTGAGCAGAGTGAGTGCCTAGTACATCCTCTTTAAACAGCCATGATTCCTTGTCTGGGGTATGGTTTACTAATTTGCTTTTGATAGAAAGAATTCGTATGTACCTTTTCAATACTATAAAAACACAACAGCACCTTAAACTATATATAGAGGTTCATGCTCTAGTACAATATGCAATGTAGACTGTTGACACTGACTCTCATAACATGTTTGAAAATGCTGCGTTCCTAATGATGTTACCAATACCTGTGATGTTAATGAGCTATAACCACCAAGCTGGAGCCTAAATAAATGGTGTGAAATACAGATGAATATGTACATCATTTGGCTCATAAAGCTGTGTTTAAAAGCCTTGAGTTTTTTTCCTTAAGATAATACTTCTAAAATATACTGGTTATCTTATTCTGCTAAACCAAGAATAATGAAAAATAGATAACTGCTCCTACTCTTTCTTTTTGTAAGACTTAATTCCTTAGTTTTAATAAAGAATGCTAACTCCAACACTGGATTCCTGCTCAAGTAAATTACTTTTTTTTTTTTCCCCTGTGATTCTAGCATGACACTTGAACCTCATAGAAATAGTGTTAACTACATAGTAGCTAACCTCAGTCTAGAGGTTTTGTACTCATGCTGGTACCAGCAGGATGCATGGCTCTTCCACTGGGAAAGGTACCCCACCCGTACCTTTCCAGTATGCTCTAAAGTATCCTGAAACAAAAATGTTTGTTACACTTCCCCTTTCTGTAAGGGCCAGTACTGTGAGAAATGCTGAGGTCAGTGGCTGAACCATTTCTTAACCTTGGAAATGCCAAAAATTCTGCTACATTCTGGGCATTCCCCCAAACAGGTTTTGAAGTGGTTTGGTTTATGGGTGTGTTTTATTTATCTGAAGACTTGGCAGCCTCCAGTTCAGAGGAGGAGAGCTGTGCCCTCCACAAGCCTCCTGCACATGGAAGAAGAAAGGGAAGCTTCCACCCCTGCTGCTAATGCTCTGAGCACTGGAACATGCAAGCAAAGGCAAGCACCAGCCGCACAATTCTGTCTAACCACAAAACCATCATCTAGCTTGAATTCACCAGCAAGCTTTGGTCAGATGACCTTATTTTTAGAATGGAAGAGCAGCTTTGCGTTCCTGCTCACACTGCAGAGATGTGGCAGATACTCACAGTTGCAATACAGTACGGGAGATTGTTCTTGCAGCTGGGACACAGAAGTTCACACTCCGGGAGCTGGAATGCACAGTAGGGACAGGCTGTTGTTGGCTCTTCTGTTGCTGTTGTGCTTGGATGTCTAGAAGAAAGGTACAAACATGGATAAAAACCTCAAGTGCTTTGAACTTGACCAGAGATGTTTTACAGTGCCTTTAAGATTTAGCAAGTGTTTTAGTTAGTTTAACCTTTGAGTTAGTTGCGGAGCTGTCAGTTGCTATTTTATATTCTACCAGGTAATTCCTTTTAACTATCAGCCAAGCTTCATCATAGTTATGTAAACTCAGAAACAGGTAATTTTCCATCTAATTTGAAACTACACAACCTTTTTAAAGCTATAATGGGTCATAATACTTCAAAAGCTTTTGATACTCAGAGTATAAAGCTACAGTTTCTCTATTTCAGTGTTTTTTCTGTGGCAGGAGTGACCACAAAGAATTGAAGTAACAAGAAATAAAACGGGGATCTGGGTAGGACTAGACAGGTTGTAACACTGCCTTTCCCAGGCTTGTGTTCATCCCTGTGTCTCTTGGAGTGACGGTCCTGATCCAGACATGACAGCACCTGGGTTAAGGGTTGGACCTTCCTTCAGATTTCTTATGTGACCTTAACTTTCATCATTTATGGAATATTTATAGACAACGAGCTTAGATTCACTTTTAGCATATTTTCCAGTGAAGAGGATCCTTCCTGATGTTTAGCCTAGCAACCTTTTGGAGAGCATTAGGTGGCTGCCTTAATTACATTGATACTTTATAGAAAGCCTAATTTCTC